CCCCGCGGCCCTTCCCCTCTTTACCACAAGACCCGAAAAATAAAGATGTGCCGTCTCCTCCCTCTCGCTTGCAGGGGCGGGACTTGAGGGGGTGGAGTTGTGAGGCTGAGGCTCTGCCTCCGAGATGCTTGCGTCGGACTCGCCCCCAAGAGCCGATTGGCTCATCTGCTGGGCTCAGGATGGGCCGGGGGCGGGCCCGTTTAAAGACCTCAGGGTGGACATGCGCTGTGTCCGAGCGCCGCCCGGGACAGGTGCTGGCCACAGGGGACGGATTCGTCACCGAGTCCATCTGGGGGTTGGGGTGGAGGGTGTTCCTTTGGCGGATTTTTGTGAACCCCCACCTCCCGGCGGAGCGGAGACCATGGCCCCTCAGGGCTCCCGGGCCCCGCTGGAATTCGGGGGACCCTTGGGTAATGGGGCAAAGAAGGGGGGACCTGGGGCCAGAGGCTCTTCAAAGGGAAACTGGAGGAGTGAACTACGAGCGGGATGGGGCGGAATCGGGGGAGGGGGCTTTGAGGGGTGTCGGGGGGCAGGGGGTTGTGGGAGTGTCTGGAGGGGGGGGGTCTGTGGAGTGGGGGGAGTCCGGAGGCGGGACCAGGCGGAAGTTAGGGAAGGGTGCTGAGGCTGGGAGCGGGGTGTGGGCCCGGACGATGGGATGCTGACGGGGTGGGGAGAGTTGGGGAGCGGGCCCCTGACGCGATCGGCCCCTTCCCCAGGCGCTGCGGCGCTGATGCTGCTGCTCCCCGCCACCATGTTCCATCTGCTCCTGGTTGCGCGCTCCGGGCCGGCGCGCCTCCTGGGCCTGCCCCCCCACCTGCCGGCGCCCGAGGCGCTGTGGAGCCCGGGCGCGCTGCTGCTGTGGCTCACCTGGCTGGGCCTGCAGGCGGCCTTCTACCTGCTGCCGGCGCACAAGGTGCGGACCTGCCTCGCCGTCGCGCGTGGGAGGAGGGCGGAGGGTCGGGCTCAGCGAGAAGAAAGGCACCCTCAGCCCTCATCGGAGCCCCTTTGTGCCTGCAGATGGCTGAGGGCCAGGAATTGAAGGACAAGAGTCGCCTGCGCTACCCCATTAACGGTGCCTGGGGCGGGGCCTTCGCTGGAGTTGCGCGGGTGGGGTGGGGCTGCAGGTCTAGGGGATCGACCCGACCCGGGCTCTGGTGCCTGCGCCGCCAGGACAGACCCGGGGTCTGCTCTCCTGCACACCCCGCCCCTCCACCCTTTCCTGCCGCATTTGCTGCTGCTCTCGCCACAGCAGCCGCTGGCGTGACCTAAAAGCTAAGGTGTCAGCCAAATGGCTTGGGTCGAGGTCTGTGACCTCTTGGCTTAGAGCAGTGTTTGGGGGGGGGGGGGGGCTAGTCCTCAGGACTCACCCTGTGCTGGGGTTCAGGCTTCCAGGCCCTGGTGCTGACAGCCCTGCTGGTGGGCCTGGGGGTGTCGGCTGGGCTGCCCCTGGGAATGCTCACGGAAATGCTCCTGCCCTTGGCGTGGGTGGCCACCCTCACGGCCTTCATCTTCAGCCTCCTCCTCTATCTGAAGGCGCTAATGGCCCCTGCCTCCGCCCTGGCACCTGGAGGGAACTCAGGTGAGAGGGGCTCCAGTGGGGACAGATGGAGGCGGACAGGGGTGCTAGCTTGCAGCCTCACTCTCCATTGTTCTCCAGGCAATCCCGTTTACGACTTTTTCTTGGGACGGGAGCTCAACCCGCGCTTCGGTTCCTTTGACTGCAAATACTTCTGCGAACTGCGGCCTGGCCTCATCGGCTGGGTATGCTGGGCATGGCTCAGTGGGACTTGCGCCAGCAGGAGGGGTGGGGCGGGTGAGCAGTTCCTGGGCAGGACAGGTGCAGTATTGCCCAGACATCATTCATTCATCCCACAAATATTTGTTGAATCTAATATGTGTCCTAGGAAATACTGTAGGTGCTGGGATATGAGAAAATTACAGAAAAAAAAAATGTCCTCATGGAACCTACATTCTAATGGGAAAGACAGACAAAAAAAGTATATATAGCATGTCAAGGGATGCTGCGTACCATGGAGGAAAGCAAGTCAGGAAAGAAGAGGTGCGATTTTTTTTAATCCTCACCAAGGCTATGTTTCTATTGATTTTTAGAGAGAGAAATACTGATGTGAGAGAGAAACATTGATCCGTTGCCTCCCGACCAGGGATGGAAACTGCACTGACTGGGAATCAAAATCCAAACTTTTTGGATGATGCTTCAACCACCTGAGCCACCCAGCCAGGGCGAGGTGCAATTTTAAATGAAGCAGTCAAGTGCACAAATCTATTTCAAGAAGGGAGAGTGGTCCTATGCTGCTTGCTAGTCAAAGTAGTGCAGAACTTAGGTCTGAGCAGAGTTTAGCAACCTGTCCATCACTGGTGTCTTTGACTGACATACCAACTGTGTTTCTTGGTGATAGTCAGTGCTGGACTGTGGTCAGGGTTTCCCAAAGGTTCCTCATGTCACCCTGGAACCCTCACTCAGAGCCAGGAGGAATGCCAAGTGCCAGGCTGTGTCCTGATGTATGAAACGGGATAAAGAGCTTCTTCCTTAGATTCTTATGAGGATTAGAAGGGGTAACAGCACCTAGCCCACTGCTGCCAGATGGGGGTGCTCACTACAGGCTGACTGCTAGCCACCATTGTCGAGCACTTCCTGTGTGTCACTTCCATGAACCCTCAGGCAATTCTAAGGGCAGGTCCGTAATTATTTCCATTGCCACCATGAGGGTGGGGAAGGCAGGCTTTAGAGAGGGTAAGCAACTTGCCCAAGCGGGGAAGCTAATTCAAAACCAGGTCTGTTTTAAGTCTCAAGCCTGCAGCACCCGCCTACACCCCATGCTGCTCTCCCAAAGGGAACAACACTACAGGATAAGGTGAGAGAAAACAGCTGGAAACACCTCCATTGCAGGCTCTCTGGGAACGGGCTGGGTTCATTTGACAAAGAGCTGGAGAGTTAGTGGCTGACACTTAGATGGGGAGAAGCTGGCCACTGCCCTACCCGGGTGCTGCCTACTCAGTGGAGATGGGCTAGGGACAGACTGTGGGCTGTCTCCTCCCAACCCCCAGGTCCTCATCAACCTGGCTCTGCTGGTACAGGAAGCAGAACTTCTGGGGAGTCCCTCCCTGGCCATGTGGCTGGTCAATGGCTTCCAGTTACTCTATGTGGGTGATGCCCTCTGGCACGAGGTGAGCTTGGATTGCTCAGGGGAAGAAGGGGAAACTGCCTGAGGACCTTGGAGGGACTACAAGTGTGTCTGGGTCCTGTCCCTGCAGGAAGCTGTACTCACCACCATGGACATCACACACGACGGGTTTGGCTTCATGCTGGCCTTTGGGGACCTAGCCTGGGTACCCTTCACCTACAGCCTGCAGGCCCAGTTCCTGCTGTACCACCCACAGCCCCTGGAGTTACCCACAGCCTCAGTCATCTGCCTTGTCAATGGTCAGTCAGGAACGGGCAGCAGCCTGGGTGCATGCATCATTCTCCCTCCCCTTTCTTATGTTTTATATATTTTTATTGATTTCAGAGAGGCAAGGAGAGGGAGAGATAGATAGAAACATCAATGATGAGAGAGAATCATTGATTGGCTGCCTCCTGCACGCCACACTGGGGATAGAGTCCACAATCTGTGTGCATGTGCCCTGACCAGGAATGGAACTGTGACCTCCTGGTTCATAGGTTGACACTCAACCACTGACCCATGCCAGCTGGTCTTTCATTGTTTATTCAGCACCCACTAGGTAGGTGCTAAGCATCACGCTCTTCTCTAAAGCCGGGGGCTGGGTCCCGGGGTCCAGGCAGACTGGGTTTAGGCTGTGTGTGGGGATGATCAGGGTCAGGCAGAAGCCTGTGGCCCTCAACCCTGACTGCCTGCTCATGCTTTCCCGCAGCTGTTGGTTACTACATCTTCCGTGGAGCCAACTCCCAGAAAAACACCTTCCGAAAGAACCCTTCTGACCCCAGAGTGGCCGGTGAGCTGTTTCTAGGTTGCCATGAGTGAGGTGGGGCAGCTGGGCTTCCTGGGGGTCACCCATCCCACTACCTGTCTTCCCCCAGGCCTTGAGACCATCTCTACAGCCACGGGGAAGCAGCTGCTAGTGTCTGGGTGGTGGGGTATGGTCCGCCATCCCAACTATCTGGGAGACCTCATTATGGCTCTGGCCTGGTCCTTGCCCTGTGGTGAGTAGCTTGGGTAGGTACTGCATGTGTGTGGGGGCAGATGGATTAGAAACCACAGGATACCCAGTCTGGGTGTAGAATGAATAGGGGTGCGCCTTAGTGGAGGGAGTAGTCAGGGGGCTGGAGATGGACTCAGGATATGACTGGGAGACAGCACTGTTGACACCTTGCTGCAGACCCGGGACCTTTCACTATTGAGCCCTGATGCCCATGAGCTGTTAGGTATGGAAACCTTTGTGAACTGGGGGTCTGGCTGAGTGGTCACAGAGCCCCCTTCCCCACAGGGGTGTCCCACCTGCTGCCTTACTTCTACCTCCTCTACTTCACTGCGCTGCTGGTGCACCGTGAGGCCCGGGACGAGCAGCAGTGCCTGCAAAAGTACGGCCTGGCCTGGCATGAATATTGCCGGCGTGTGCCCTACCGAATTGTGCCTTACATCTACTGAAGTGGCTCCACCTACCCAAGGTCGAAGCCTGTACCCACCCATCTGCCAGCACACCCTGCAGCGGGAGCCTGGACCGTCCGGGACTCTAGGACTCAAAAGCCTGCACTGAGTCCTGCCGAGCTCCAGCAGGCGGGGATGACAGCCTCAGAGCAAGAACATGAAGGCAGTACCCAAAACGGAGTGGAGGTTGCTCTTCCTTCTTAGATAAACATCTGGAACCCTTGGTACCTCTTCTCTCCCTTTCTGGGACAGGGGTGTTTAAATCTTGGCTGGGTCAGCCCTGATTAGGGAGAGGTTGAGAGGTTTGCGGGCCCAAGAATCTGCGGGTGGGTGGGCACAACAGCCGTCTCTCAGAAACGGGCACTCCCAACAAGGTCAGACCATTCTCAGGTTTATTGATGACAAGGAGCCCACAGTTCAGCCAGGGAGTTCCTCAATGAGCGTCCTCGGGGCAGGTGGTAGGGGACCTCCCCAAAGCCGCTCCAGCTCCCCAGTGAGGGCTGCCACCTCCTCCGCCGCTACAGCGTGAGCTCGGTGGGCCCTGGCACAGTCCAGAGCCAGGGCTGGGAGGGCCACCTCATTCTCGTTGGTCCAAGCCATCAGGAACTGGCACTTCTTTCGGGCCCGGTAGAGGCGATCTCGCACCTCAGTAGCCTCGGCCCGTTTCCGGGCCCGGCCCAGAGTCTGCACCAAGTGCCCCAGGGCTGCCAGCGTGTAGCCCTTCTGGTTGGCAGGGCCCTCGCCCAGCAGGATGCGGGCGGCCTCGCGCATGGCACCCCGTGTGCCCAGGGGCCCCGGGGGATGCTCGCCCGCTTCAAGCACGTGAGCGGCGGCCTGCAGGGCTTCTTCGGCAGAGGCAAAGGCCTGCTGGGCACCCAGGGCTCCCGAAACGCCGAGCAGCGTGGCACAGAAGTCGGCGAGCAGCGCATCGTCGCCGCCATGATACAGGACAAGGGTGTGCGCATAGGCGAACAGCACGTTGGGCAGCTGGAAGCGCACGAGCGGCGAGACCCTGCCGCGGCTCAGGCTGGCCAGCGTGGGGATCCGGGCGGGCACAGCGGGCGTGCAGGCCCCCGGGGCGTCTCCGAGAGCCGTCTCCGCGGCGGCCGGGGACTCCGCGGCAGCCGCATCCCTCGCGGGTTCTGGCGGCGCCTTCGCAGGGTCGGGCTCCAGCTCCGCGGCCTCCCCGCCCGCGGTATCATCCAGCTCCTCCAGAAGTCGTGGCCCGGCCCCGCTCCCCCACCACCACGGCCGCCACGGGGGCAGCAGCCGCCCGGCCTCGCCACGGTTCAGCAGCTGCTCGAAGGCCGCCTTCTCGGCCGGGGATAGCCGCTCCCAGAGTCCCAAGAGGCCGCCGGGCGCCGGGCCCGGGCTGAGGCCTGCGTCCTGCGGCTCGTCCTCGGTCTCGCGTTGCTGGCGCAGCCGGCGGAGGGCGCTGGCTAGGCGGCTGGGAGAGGCGCTGCGGCCGCGGAGCTCTCCCAGCACCTGGTCCCGGTAGAAGTCTTCGGCGCAGGTGCCATGCGCCCGGTAGCAGCGCAGCGAGCAGTAGGGCACGTTACAGCGGGGGCAGACGTAGCGCGCCGGCTGGGCCTCGGCGGCCGGGCAGAAACCGCAGGGCCCGGCCGGCTCCATGGCAACTGGCGCCGCCGGCCACCCGCGAACGCAGAGGCCGCAGCTCGGCACCCTCCGGCGCTCCTCGGTGACTTCCGCCTCTCGGTGGGGCCCACCGAGCGTCTAGTGAAAGCTCCCCGAAGACTCTCGGCAACTTCCGCCCACACTCGGCATCCAAACCCCGCCCTCGCGTCGCGGCTGGGCAGGCGCAGGAGGCAGTGGTGAGGTGGGAGCGCGGTAGCAGCCCCAGCGCGGCCGCTTGGCGCTGCAGAGCGCAGAGGCAGGAGTCGGTCTTTGCCACGCACCTCCTCTGGGCCGTTAACTGTGCCAGTCCCTGCGCTGTAGGGACAGCCATTATACTAGACAGCCATAGAGAGGACAAAGGGGAGAGAGTGAGTGGAAAGGCCAAGGTGGGTACCTCGCCTAGACTGGGTGTGTGTTGGCGGCATTTTCCCTCTTCAAAACAAAGCAATATTTAACAAACATCTGAGCTCCTGTTTGATTTCCTCCTCCAAACCCATCGTTCATCCACGTTAAAGTGGACCACGTTGAGCAGAGATGCGGCCCAATCATAATGGAGCTTACAGGTTGTGGTAGAGTGGGGAGTTGGTCCAGGGCAGCCCTGATAGATAGTAAGCTCTGGTTCTTTAGTCCCTCGTCTTGCACATCCAATCCCAGCTACAGTCAGCTCTGCCTTCAAAATACCTTGTACTTATTTCAATATCGGTCATGTTTCTCTACCAAGATCGAGATGGGTTTGATGACCTGCAAGTCTGTTCAAAGTGAGTTGATGAGTGAAGCAGTGAGACAATCAAGCCTGTTCATTTTTTTACATCTCCACCACCACTGGTGCTCTAAGTTCCTTGCCAATCAACTGGATGACACCACCTTAACTTTCTTGCCGGCCCTCCAGAAAAATCAGCCAGTTGAAATGTTAGGTCACAAGTCAGTTCACATCAGTCACTTGCTGAAAACCCAGCCCTGCCCTTGATGACTCTCCACTGTATTTGGACCTAAACACTCCATGTCTGACTGCGGTTCTTTCCGCTAGAACTTTCATCATCTTACCATCTGATTAACTAGGATAGTATGTGTTTACCCAACCCCCTTCGTTACACTTACTTTAAGTTTATGAACACTTTAGTTTCCTCACTTTCTTCTGTGTCCTGACCAGGGATCAAACCTGCAACCTTGTCTTATTGGGACAATGCTCTGAGCTACTTGGCCAGAGATATTAAATAACTAGAGGTCACATGCACAAAATTCATGCACAGGTAGGGTCCCTAGGTTTCCTGCCTCCCCATTCTCTTGCCACCCACCCCAGGTTCCGTATTCCAGCCCAGGGCCCAGCCACAATCAGGTGATTGGGACCTGCCAGCCAGGGGGAGGGACCCAGGAGGTTGGCTCCTGACTCTGAGGAGGGAGCTGGCCCTTGGCCCCCCTGGGAAAGGGGCCCTGTCTGCTGCCACCCACCCTCAGTTCCCTGTTCCAGCCCAGGTGCCCAGCCACAATCTGGTGATGGGGGCCTGTCAGCCACGGGGAGGGACCCGGGGTTTGGCCAGCAGGCCCCATTGCCAGTGGGGGCCTGTGGGCTGGGGGAAGCTCCTTCATTGAGTGTCTGCCCCTGGTGGTCAGTGCACATCATAGCAACCAGTTGTTCCAGTCATTCCATCATAAAGGTCACTTAGGCTTTTATATGTATAGATATAGATTATAAATGGAGCAAGGACCGAAACTCAAGGCAGTCTAAGTCTAGAGCACAAGGTCTCTCTTTATACTATGGGCTTTATTCTAAGAAGCAGCAGGTTAAAAAACCTTAGAATAAATGTGTGGGCATGCATGTGTTGCTAGCAGGAAACTTGTTATCAGTTCAAGAGAACTCAACTTTTGGGAACAGTGAAACAATCAACTGACCAGCCTGAGTTCTGATTAGGTTAAGTACAAACAAGGTCACCACAGTGCCAATATAATCAGGATACATTCCAAAGCTGGGCAAACCAAACTTCTGCACTGAGCCCCACTAAGGCCATAGCTGGTCCAAGTTCAGGAAAAGGCCAGATTTGCATTCCCTGACATTTTTTTCTCCTAGAACTCTTCCCCTTCCATTGCTGCCTCTATAAAACACCCACAACGATTCCTATCTTGTTTAAAAGAATAGGAACAAAACAAAAACCAAAAAAAAAAAAAAGAGAGAGAGAGAGAGAAGGATTTGGGGGAATTATCAAGTTATTTGGGATCAGAAGTTTCCCCAATTCTCCATTTGAAGGAAGGACTGGCACGTTTTCTTGGGAAGCCTTTTCTTGTACTTTACCACCTCCCTCTCACCCCCTCTACCCATCAAGGGCCTCTGCCTCACTTGACAATATCAAGAAACCAAAATGAGGCCTCACTGTTCTAGTGGACATACCACCAGCCCTAGAAGCCTCCTCTCACCCTGAGGCCCTGCAAATTAAGATGAAATGAGATGACTGGGCTAAGTGGCTTTATTAGAGAAAACCAGATTACAAAGGACTTTAAGAGTTGGCATTGGGGCCCTTCTTCTTGCCAAAGGTGGGCACAACATTGACAAAACGCCGGTTGTACTGCATCCGTCGCTTGGCCCGACCAGTCTTCTTCTTCTTTTTCTCCTGTTTGGCCACCTGGGAAAGGGAAGGCTGATCAGACCCTGGTCAAAAGCCAAAGGTCTTAGCTTATCTGTGAGAGTAAAAAACGAAGTCCAAAGGACACCACTAATACTGCACTTACCTTGGGGGTCTGACCTCTTACTTTCCCAGCACGGGCCAGAGAACCATGGACTTTACCTGTGGTGGAAAAGGACAGCAAGCGGTCAGGAGCAAGAAGGCCCCATCCAGCAGAATTCTCTCTTCCTCAACTCAAGCCTTTAAAGGTGAGCTGGGCTCAGCAGGAAATGAGAACAAAATTGCAGAGATTTGACATCTGACCAGGAATTAGCCTGGCATGTTCAAGTTTTCACTTCAGGATTTCCTAGCCCCTTGACTTTAAGTAAGAACTGAACAGCACCTTGGGGATCTGGTCTAACCTCCTAATTTTAATGAGGAAATTGGGAAATAGGCAAAGATCTAGTAAGTGACTGAAATAGAACTACATTCTAGTTCAGTCTTCCAGGGACCTCTCAAGAGTTAATTCTGCCAAAGGACAGAGATAGTAGGGGGGCAGGGACATGTGCCGGGGCTGGGAGGGGGGAAGCAGGCAGGGAGAGATCAATGGGGGGGGGGGGGGGGGGGAGGAGACATGTGTAATACTTTCAACAATAAAGTATTTTTAAAAAGGAGTTAATTCTGCCCTGGCTGGCATTCTCAGTGGTTAGTGCCAAGCCTGCACACAGAAGGGTCACACGTTCAATTCCTGGTCAAGAGCATGTACCTGGGTTGCAGGTTCCATCCCTGGCACAGTGGGGCGGATGTGGGAGGCAACCAATGGATGTCTCTTTCTCATATCAATGTTTCTCTCTCTCTTCCCCACCCCACCTCCCTCCCACTCTCCTGAAAACCAATGGAAAAAATATCCTGGGGTGAGGATACCAAAACAAACAAAGAGTTAATCCCGAGGTAAACAGGAAGAACCACCCTGGATTAAGGACACTGATCTCATTATGTGCTTACAAGCAGTTCAAAGGACAGTCCTCCCCAGCTCACCTCCAAGCATGCGGGCGGCTACTTCCAGAGTGGACAGCGCCTCCACCCCACACTGGCCCAGGGTAGCCTCATCCTCCAGGGGTGTGCCCGCGAGGAGCACGACTTGATCTTCGGGAGCGATGCCCTCCAGCGAGGCTACATGAGCCTACAAGCAAAAACGAGACTCATGAGCGTCCCCGCAGGGAGCGAGGTTAAAGAGCACACGAATACGGCGCCCGCGGTGCACCACGCAGCCTTACCTTGATCTGGGAGACAGTCTCCCGGCCGGTCACCTCGAGGGTGTGTAGCTCCTGGGCGCGGACAAACAGCTGCATGTCGGCGACTGAGGAAAAGGAACGCTTGTGAGAGAAGGAACATTCTGGGAGAGCGGGCGTCGGGGAATCGGTGGCGGGCCGGGGGCGATCGCAGGTCTCACGTGGGTAAGACAGGGCCGGCCGGCCTGCCCGCCTGCCTGCCAGGGAGGTCGGGTGGGGACAAGAACCCGGCCCACACAGCAACCTCTCCTCCTCTGTTCTTCCCGCGCCCTCTGACCTCGCAGCCAACCTGCTAGGAAGCCCCCCGGACTCAGCCGTGCCCCCAACTCTACCTGAACTGCGGCCTGTGCCGCTCCCGCGAAGATGGAGTCGAGAAAGAGGAAGGAAGAGGAGCGTACGCGTCCTAAGCGCTTGCTGCGTCTAACGTCACTGCTGCGCGCCGACGAGAACCTCGGCTATTTATGCCGCCCACGGCGTCGTAACCCCGCCCCTTGACGCTCGCGTAGGCATTTTTTCCGGTCTCGCGAGGCGTGCGCGGGAAGCGTGGGGCTAGGCGGGTTGCGCGCGCAGGAAGCTAAGCTGGGGGAGTTCAAGATGGCCGCGGCCGTGTTCCCGGCTTTGCTGCGGCGCTGGAGGGTCGGCGTGCAGCCGGGCGGCGCGCTACGGCGGCTGGTGAGAGTACTGAGCATGGAGCGGGGCCGGAGGGCTGGGTGTGAGGCTCGCTGTTCTTCCTTTTAACCCTGAAAATCGCATTCCCGTTGGGACCGTCGTTTTCCCATCTGATGAGGGAGACCTTTTCTGTAGCTGAGATGCAAGATTGAGAAGGAAGGCGGCAGGACCTGGTGCGCGCTTCCGGGGGTGGGGTTAGAACCTGATTGGAGGACAACCTCGGTGAGTCGGCACTGGGCGGGGCTGCGCTGCCTAACTCAAGGGGAATAACGGGTTCACAGCGCGACCCCATCATTGGCGACACTACTGGGAACCTAGAGCTCATGACGTACAGGCCGCTGCACCCTGCTTCCCTGGCCTCATGGTCACCCCGGCGCCTGTCAGGCAGGACTCCGGGGTATCTGTCGGGATAAGTGTCCAAAAAGGATCTGAAAGCTGCAGGATGGGAGGACAGAATTTGGAGTGTGACCTTAGGGTAGATTGCTGAATGTCTTGATCTTCCTTGGATTAAAAAAGTGTGTGATAAAATACGCCGCGTTATAGAATTAAATGAAAACAATACCTGCAGAGCACTTAGTATGATGCCTGGGCGTGCGTGTATGAGGCTGAAACCTTCCAGGTAAAGGAGGATCACGTGAGGTGAGTGTGAGTGGAAAACTATCAGGGTTGTTGAAAGTGCCTAACCCAGAACTAGAATATTTCAGTAGAATATTTAAAAGAAACTTTCCATGTAGGTGCTAAAAATGAAGCCTCTTTTGCAACCCAGAACTCATTGCTTAGTATGAGTTTTGATACATATAAGAAGGAACATGATACCTAAAACACTGGGTCCAGGACTGTAGGATTAATCATTTAAAAAGCATAGACTATAAGGGAAATATTAACCATACTGCTTTAGTATTTTAATTTTGCTGTGTTTTTTGTTTGTTTTTATTTTATTTATTTTATCTTTAATTTCTTTATTGGTTAGGGTATTACAAATGTGTCCTCATCCCCCCATTAACCCCCAACCTCCCCCACCCCCACTCATGCTCTCTTTCCCCTGTTGTCCATGTCCATTGGTTTGGCTTATATGCATGCATACAAGTCCTTTAGTTGATCTCTTCCCCTTACCCCCACCCTCCCCTAATTTTGCTGTTGATAACACTATAAGTTCTTTTTATTTATTTATTTGGGTTTTATCTTGGAGAACACACTATCTGGATTTATGTCTTACTCTTTAGGTATTTTTGTATATCCTGAAGAGCTATACTATTCTAGGGAGTGATAGCTTAGGAGTGAAGATTTGAACTTACTCATGTTTAGAGGGTGTCTGAAATTAAAAAAGCAGGCAGATCCATTTACTCAGACCCTAACCGCGGCCGTAAAGTAAATTGCTTGAAGAAATTAGTTCCCAACGATGATAGGACTGACTGAAATGACATCAGGATTGAGCAAAAAAGGGAATAAGATGATTAAGACTCAAACTCAGGAGGAACTAAGGCAGTGGAAGAACTCAGAACGTGAAATTCCTTAAATAAAAGTTTGTCAACTTAAAAAATAAATAAATAAAAGAAACTTTCTATATTGAATTATGCCACATTGCTCAGATTTCCAGTTGTCTTTTTTTTTTTATATTTTCAAGGCAGGTTTTTTTTTTATTAATTAAATCTTTATTGTTCAGATTATTACATTTGTTCCTCTTTTTTCCCCTCATAACTCCCCTCCACCCAGTTCCCACCCCACCCTCTTCCCTCACTCCCCACCCACTGTCCTTATCCATAGGTGCACGATTTTTGTCCAGTCTCTTCCCGCATCCCCCTCACCCCTTTCCCCCCAAGAATAGCCAGTCCACTCCCGTTCTATGCCCCTGATTCTATTATAATCACCAGTTCATTCTGTTCATCACATTATTCACTGATTTTCAGATTCACTTGTTGATAGATGTGTATTTGTTGTTCATAATTTGTATCTTTATCTTTTTCTTCTTCTTCCTCTTCTTAAAGGATACCTTTCAGCATTTCATATAATACTGGTTTGGTGGTGATGAACTCCTTTAGCTTTTTCTTATCTGTGAAGCTCTTTATCTGACCTTCAATTCTGAATGATAGCTTTGCTGGATAAAGTAATCTTGGTTGTAGGTTCTTGCTGTTCATCACTTTGAATATTTCTTGCCACTCCCTTCTGGCCTGCAAAGTTTCTGTTGAGAAATCAGCTGACAGTCGTATGGGTGCTCCCTTGTAGGTAACTGACTTTCTTTCTCTTGCTGCTTTTAAGATTCTCTCTTTGTCTTTTGCTCTTGGCATTTTAATTATGATGTGTCTTGGTGTGGTCCTCTTTGGATTCCTTTTGTTTGGGGTTCTCTGTGCTTCCTGGACTTGTAAGTCCATTTCTTTCACCAGGTAGGGGAAGTTTTCTGTCATTATTTCTTCAAATAGGTTTTCAATATCTTGCTCTCTCTCTTCTTCTGGCACCCCTATAATTCGGATGTTGGTACGCTTGAAGCTGTCCCAGAGGCTCCTTACGCTATCTTCGTATTTTTGGATTCTTTTTTCATTTTGCTTTTCTGGTTGGGTGTTTTTTGCTTTTTCGTATTTCAAATTGTTGACTTGATTCTTGCGATCCTCTAGTCTGCTGTTGGGATTCAGTATAATATTCTTTATTTCAGTCAGTGTATGCTTAATTTCTAGTTGGTCCTTTATCACAACCTCGAGGGTCTCATTAGATTTCTTGTAGGTCTCATTAAGTTTATCGGCAGTTTCTAGAAAATTCTTGAAAAACCTTAAGAGTGTGGTTTTGAACTCTATATCCAGTAGTTTGCTTTCCTCCATTTCTGTCATTTGTGTCCTTTTTCTTTGTCTCCGCATTTTTTATGCTTCCCTGTGTTGATAAAGTGGTTTTCTGTGCTAAGTGTCCTCTAGGGCCCAGTGGTTCAGCCTCCCCAATTACCTGAGGAGGACACTCTTGGTGCACCCCCTTGTGGGCTTTGTGCACAGTCTTGTTGTAGTTAAGCCTTGATTGTTGTAGGTATCACTGGGAGGAATTGACCTCCAGGCCAATTGGCTGTGAGAATCAGCTGTGTCTGCAGTGGGAGAACTTCTGTGCTGGAGACACCCCTCCGGGGCAAGACTTGCTTCAGTGGGGCTTTGGTGCTCACTGAGTCTGCCCCCTGAGTGTGTCCTTTATGGTTCCACAGAGCTGCAACCTGGATGGTCCCACTCTGACCTCTGGGTATACTGGCTCCTGGATCTCTAGGGAGGTGCTAATCTAGCCTCTGCCTGAGGCTATCCAGCAAAAGCTTCCCTGCAGGGCTTGGGCAGGGTGGGTCCCACCGGATCAACAGGGCAGGGCTAGCAGTTATGGCTGCTCTCAGAGGCTCCGCTTCTCAGTGTCCCAGTAATCGCTGCAAGCCCCTCTGAGAGAAAGCTGCCCTCGAGTTCCAACTGATGCCAGACAGTCCCGCTTTTCCTGTATGAGTCTGGGTCCCCAGCGACTCACCCAGAACTGGAGCTCAGAGCCTGAGACTCACTCCCAATTGAAAATGACAACCGTGCCCTCAGCCGCCAGCCCACTCCGCATGCACCTCCGCACCTTAGTATTTTACTTCTGCACTATGCCTCCTCTGAGTCTCGGTATGCTTTTCTCTTTCCTTCTAGTTGTGGGATTTCCACTCAGCCAGCCTTCCTGTGGTTCTGGATGATGTCCATTCCGTCTTTTAGTTGTATTTTTGAAGTGGTTGTTCGAGGCAGCAAACTCCGGGGTTTACCTATGCCGCCATCTTGGTTTCTCCTCTCCAGTTATCTTGTTATTTGGGTCCCAGGAGGGACTGAGAGGCAGGCCTTCAGAATGCTTGAACTTCTTTTCTAGTCCCATCTGCACCCTGACAAACTGAAGTCTGGTGCTTTCCTATCTTCAGACATTCATTTATACCGTTCTCTCTACCTGTAATGTTTCCTTTCACTACTTACTGAAGTTCTGTTGTGGTGGGTGGGTGGGTGGTGAGTACGCTGATGGTTGCTTTTTGTTTTTGCCTCAGAGCCAGACCCAGGGGCCTCCCAGTTACCCCCGCTTCGTGGAGTCTGTGGATGAATACCAGTTTGTGGAACGCCTGTTACCCCCCACCAGCGTTCCGGAGCCCCCAAAGCATGAACATTATCCTACTCCTAGTGGCTGGCAGCCCCCCAGAGGTGAGCTAGATCATGGGGATGGCTTGAAGGCAACAGGGAAGTACCCCTCCTTGGTGGTTGGCCTGCCCCAGCTGCCACTGAACTCAGTGGTTTCAGGACTTGTTTTGAGGACTAGTACCTGTTTCATGTTCAAGGAAGGGCCCAGGAATGGAGCCCTGTTTCACAAGTAACCATCCATCCACACTACTGGGATAAGGTCTTCCCATGCAGGAAAAGCATAGAGAGAAGACCCAAGAGCTTGGACTCCTTCTCTCCCCACCCGCAGGAGTCCATGTACCATAATTAAGAACTCAGCTTGGGAGTTGGGCAGTTCTGGGTCAGCTTCTCCCAGCCTCAGTCTCAGCAAAATGGAGATAATCTGCCCGGCACCATAAAGCACTTAGTGCAGAGCCCAGCATGTGGTGGTGTTCAGTACTTGTAAATCTCCATGCCTTTGTGCCAGAGATTCATATTAGTCTCCCTGACCCCAAGGAGAAGGGCAAGGATTGGTCCCACAGGGGGACCTGAATATCCAGGGAGGAATGGCCCTCACTTAATTTCTTCTTGAGCACCTTCCGGTGCCAGGCCCTGTCTGGGCCTTGGGCTACTAGAGTCCTGGCTCTAAACTTAGGGAAAGAGCAGGTCTCCTGACCTGAAGTCTGGAGGTGGCTTTGCCGTAGACTTCTGCAGACTGAGGAGAAAGGCCTTGACTGAGGTGGGATGAAGCCTGGGAAGACTTGGCTTATCACCATCCCTCCCTGTCCCAGATCCTCCACCCAACCTGCCTTACTTTGTGCGGCGCTCTCGGATGCACAACATCCCTGTCTATAAAGACATCACACATGGCAACCGTCAGATGACTGTGATCCGGAAGGTTGAGGGAGACATTTGGGTAAGTGTGTGGGTGGGTCAGGGTCTGAGTGTGGCCTTTTCAGGGCTGAAGGGATGGGAGTCCTCTAGAGGTGACGGGTCTCCTGACCAGGCCTGATTTGTCATCTTCCCCCAGGCCCTGCAGAAGGATGTGGAAGACTTTCTGAGCCCGCTGCTGGGGAAGACACCTATCACCCAGGTCAATGAGGTGACAGGTACCCTGCGGATCAAGGGCTACTTTGACCAGCAGCTAAAAACCTGGCTCTTAGAGAAGGGCTTCTGAGGCCTAGCTGAGCAGCCTGCATGACAGCATCCCCCACAGACTGGAGTCCAGGGGACCTCAGGAGGGAGGCAGGTGTTAAAGCAACTAGGATTGGGGTACAGACTAGGGCTGAGGGCTAAAGGGCTTTGGAGCAGACCTTGCTTGCATAAAGCGGGAAACAGGACCATCTGCACAGATGCCAGCACTGAGGGAGGGCTCTCTTACATTGGTGACCCACTAGAAACAGCTGAGCTAGTCGGGGGCATTAGTTGCTGTCCCCCCTGCCCCTGATTTTGGTTTATTCCTGCTTTTTCTTCATTGGAGCTGCTGGGGTCAGTTATTCAAATTCTGGAGGTTGTTGACTGCCCCTCTGGTGTTTCGGGGAGGGTAGCACAGGACAGAACCATTGGGAACCTTCCTTCCTTGGTCCTTAAGACTTCCTGCTGCAAACATTCCCAAGCTCTTCCTCTAGCCAGACCTGGCTTGTGGAGGCTACGGAGAACACAGATGAATGACATGGGTCCTGGAAGCCTTCAATTCCATGTGCAGTGCTGGGCATGGGGCACAGCGTGCCCTTGTCAGCCCCTGAGCTCATCTTTTCTACCCATGGGTGAGGCAGAAGGCTCACTCACTTCTGCTCTATTCCAGAGTTAGGCCTGGTTGGGTTTCCAGCTCCAGTAATTAGTGATTCCCTGTAGCTGATCTGCCCACAAGGGGGTGCTTGGGAGCTCTTAGCCCAGCACGTGGCATGATTCCCAGCTTGATGACCTGGTATCAAGGCTGGATGGGGTTTGCAGGCACGAAGATGCTGGCCTTTTGCCCCTGCCATCCCCATCCAATGAACCTTCACACGTGTCCTGTCATGAGGGCCAAAAGCCCATCCCCACCCCAGTATCAGACTGGCTAAGTCAGGGTTCAGAGCCTAGCTCCCTCTGGGCTAAAGCAGGGTAATCTTTTTAGAGCTGTTTTTTCTTATGTAATATGGGTATATCTTCCTAATAGTTTAATAACAATGCGCCCAAGGACAGTGCTAGGTTATATAAACCCTCATCCCAGAAGATTCCAGGCCACTCTCAAGTCTACAGCCTGAGCAAGAAAATGGAGGCCCAGCTCACTGATGCGGACACCAGCTCTACCAATTGTTAATGCAAGCTTTTATTTGGCTGTATATACAATTCAAGCTATTAAAATTTGTACAATATTTACAAATTAAATAATCATCTGAAACTCTCCAGCAACTCACTTAACACAAAACCAAGGGGGAAAAGACGGACAGGCAGGCCTTGGCTCCCGTGTTCCCCACCTGCCCAGAGCCTTTTCTAACTGGAAAGACCAGGAGTCGGCGCTCCTGCTCCTCTTCCCTGGGGTCAAGCACTCAAATCCAAAGACAGATTTTCAGCCAAAGAAAATACAAGGAAGTTACTCCAATTCTTTAAACTTAAGACAAGTTCTGTAAGTTGAGGAGCGGCCTTCCGCAGTGGTTCCGGAGCAGACGCACAGCCCTCAGCCTGGAGTGAGGCTGGGCAGTGGCTGCTGGGTGAGAGCAGGGACAGTCTCACTTTAGACAAGCTACAGGGAGAGGGGCCTTGTAGGCAGTGTCCCTCGGTGCTGCCCTCCTGCTGCTCTGCCCCCAGGCACTCCTTTCCCTGAGTTGTGTGGTTGCCAGTAAGACATGGAAATGTCACAGGGCGTAAGGGACACAGCCACCACCACAAAGGGCTTCCAGGGAATTGAGGGTAAAAAATGGACACCGGTACCAGTCTTGGTGGGCCAGGGAGCAAGTTCCCGGCCTGCCCCCAGACCCTCGAGTCCACACTTAGGAATGGGAGCTAATACTGTCCGGCACTGCAGTGCGACTCCGCACACGCTGAGTGGGCTCAGGGGGCTGCCCCTCCTCCCAAAAACGAGGAGGGGGTCAGAGGGCTTCTTAGAGGCTGTGCTGTTCTGCCTTCATGGCCCCAACAGAACACAGGGCTGAAGGGTTGGAGAAGGCTGGAACTGACTCCAGATCCCCTTGGCCGCCCAAGGACTGTAAGGGCTGGAGTCAGCTGGGCCTTGGGCCTCTTTCCACTTGGCCTAGGGGATGCCACCTCCTTTGTCTCAGATGTGGGGTTACTACTCCCTGGTACAGAGAGGGAGCTGGCACTTGGTGGCAGGACATGTTCCAGCAAGGGCTGCTCGAGAGGGAGCAGCGGCCGGGCCTGGAGCGGTGTCAGTGGGCGACGGGGGACTCCAGCTTCTGCAGGCGGCGGCGGCGGAGCTCCGCTGCGTCAGGCTCCCCATCCTCAGGCAGCTCCTCGGTGCCCATGGACTCAGAACCTGGGGACAGAGCGGTCAGAAGTGGAACACAGAGAAATCCCTTGCCCTACCCCCCTGTAGGCTGCCCACAATTACCTGAAGGCTTTTCAGGTTCTGGGGCTGGTGGGGAAGCTCCTGTGGATGGGGTGGTGGCCTCAGAGCTGGGGATGCTGGTGGAGGAGGCAGCAGCAACTGTAGGGGCAGTCTCCTCAGTGGAGCTGACTGAGGTGGCCGGCCGGGGGGGCCTAGGAAGAGGAGGGACAGAGGTGAGCCCAGCTCTGGCACCTGGTATGACTGGCAGGTGATCCCGTCCTTGGCAAGCCTTGCAAAATAAGAGTCCGGCACTGCCCTAGCCGGTTTGGCTCGGCGGATAGAGGGTCGGCCTGCAGACTAAAGGGTCCCGGGTTCGATTCTGGTCAAAGGCACATGCCTGGGTTGTGGGCTCCGGGGGGGGGGGGGGGGGGGCATGCAAGAGGCAGCCAATCAATGGTTCTCTCTCATCATTGCTGTTTCTATCTCTCCCTCTTCCTCTCTGAAATCAATAAAAATACATAAAATAGAGTCCAGCCTGACGTGTCTCTGCAGCTCAGTGACCACAAGACACGAGTGACCGCAGGCAGGAATTCTTGTGACTACATCAGAGTAATCAGAAACCACTTGCAGGCAGGGACTGAAGGCCTGTTCACTTACACTGCAGTCTCCACCCCGGGTACCTTATAAGGTACCAACTAAGACCTCCCACTGAATCCAACAGAGCACTCGGGTCTCGGCGCCTCCACACCTGTGCCGTCACTGCTGGGCGCCAGGCACTTTGTGCACATGACCTGTGAGCAGGCATGAGATCCTCTTCCATTCAAATAAGGTAATGGTGCCACCGAGCACCTTAGTGTTGGTACCAGGATCTGAGCATGAGCTAGGCTGCCTCCACGTGACTAACTTTATTTGCTGTCTCAGAGCAGGGACACTGACTCCCAGTCACACTGTCACCGTATATCAGGAGAGTGCAGGTAATGAACTAGAACACTGAGAATTGTGAGAAATTTGACTTGAGAAAAAGATAAAGTAAGAAGATTCAAAGTCAGCTCTCTAATAATCCACACTTCTACTGTACTGAGATCCAGACAGGCCTGCAGTGGAGGATAAAAAGGCACCAAAAGTGCCTACAGATAGGTGGCCTGAATCAACGGACATCTCAGGATGGCACAAGAAAAAGGGCAAAAACCACTCCTGGGAGCCTTCTGGCAGCTCCATGCCTCTGCTGCCCACCCTGGTTCCCTGTGCAGACATACCCCAAGGAGGCGAGTACGGTGAGGTACTGGTTGATCTGCAGCATGGCAGCATCTAGCAGCGTGTGGATGTTGCGCAGGCTCTGCAGCCGAGCCTCCAGGTGCTGCCGCTCGTGGCCTTCCAGAGCCCGCAGCTCCTCCGGGGTCAGCCCAGCAAAGCCGGCAGGGGGCACAGGCATTGGGGGGAAGGCTGGAGAGAGAGAGAGGCTCAGCCTGGGTTGCCTGAGCCTGACACCCCCCACCCACCAGAACAACCCCGAGAGTCCCCGTTTACCGAAGGGTGGCGGCAGCGGCATGCCCATCCAGGGAGGGGGGAAGGGGAAGCCCGGGGTGGGAGCAGCCTCGGCGGTGGGGGCAGAGCCAGGTGCTGGGGCAGAGGCAGCAGAAGCAGCTGTGGTTGTGGCTGCTCCACTGGGCCGAGAAAGGGCTGCTAAAGAGCAAGAACAGGAAGTCAGTGAGTGTCGAGGGGCCTCCGCTTCCACTACTCCTGCCCCCCTGGTTGTTGCAGTACCCGAAGGGCTCACCTGCGCTGGTGGATGGAGGGGCCGCAGCCTCTCCTGAGCTGGGAGGAGGTGGAACGGGTGGAAAGGGGCCCATGGGGGGCCACAGAGGGAACATGCCTGGTGGAAAGGGAGGTAGGAGGCCCTGGGGGACTGCAGAGAGAGGACAATGAGAATGAGAAAAAGTCCAAATCACACGCAAGGCGCTGCTTGTTGGGAGCTATGTCCTCTGCTCCCACAGGTCCTCTCTGAGCTCAGCACTGACGACACATGACTGCAACCATCTATGTCTCCTCCCATGACCTCCTCATCACCACACCCAGACTGAGCTTCTAGTGGGCAGGGACTCTGATTTCCCATACCCAGCCCAAGGCAAGTACTAGACAGTGTCAAATGGCCAAATGAGGGGTCACTCACAGTTGGGGGGCTGGGGCAGGAGTGGTGGGGGATGGGGGGCAGGTGGTGGTCCCTGATCCGCAGGTTCAGGGGGTGGTGGTGATTGGGTTGGCAGCGATGCACGAAGGACATCCATACGGCAAGTAGGGCAGGTCTGCTGCCGCTGGAACCAGGAGCGCAGGCAGCTGGGGGTTAAGACCAGGCAATGATTAGCAGGTCCCTAGGGACCTGCCCCCCAGAGCCTGTCCCTGATGCGCAGACTCCCCAGGGCTCCTCCCACCTGGTATGGAAAATGTGGTTGCAGGGCAGTTTCTTGGCACCAGTCACCATCTCTTCTCGACAGATGATGCATACATTGTCCATTGCCTGGAGTTCCTCTGGGGTGGCATCTGGGTACCTGGTTAGAACAGGCCAAGGACATGTCAGGACCAGAGCTGGAGGCTGGAGGCCCAGAGCTGGGGCAGAGCTTAGGAGAGCACCTAGGCCAGGCCCACTTACAGTGTGTTCATGTTGCGGATAGCTCGGCGAGACATGATGGCGTCTGTCACAGCTTTCTTGAACTGCCTGAAAGGACAGGTTCAGTGAAAGTTGGGAGAGGAAGGGGTGGGATCAAATAGGGGTTAGGGGTGTGGCAGGGCCCGGCCCAGCTGGGCTCACCTCATGGCCAGGTACATAGGCCGGATGGCAAACAGAGGGAAGGTGTGCACCTTGATCATGATGGTCATGAAAGCCAGATAGAGCAAAACCTTGATGAAGCCTGCGGAGAAAAGTGTGCAGAGAGCAGGTCACAGGACCTGGGAGGCAGAGCTGGAGAAACTAGTCCAGGTTTGGGGAGGCCCAGGCTCCTCTCACCTGTAAACAGCTCTGTGTAGAGCATGTACACGGCCTTATTGTCCCAGGGGTTTTCGCTCTGAAGGTCCACGGAGTGCAGCACGTATTTGATGAAGATGGTGAGCACCATAGTCATCAGGATGGCGTACTGGAGGGAGGGGAGAGGGGGAGGCATAAGCAAGCAGCCCCTGCGTGCTCCAGCCACACTGCTACCCCAGGCCTCTGCACAGCAGGTCCAATAGTACAAGCACAGGCTTGGACACAGCCGGGGTCTTCCTAGCCCCTCCACTCACTAGCTGGTCTGACTTTTGGCAACCCATAGACCTCTCTGAACTAGTTTGCTTGTCTGTAAAATGCCAGAATTAACTGTTCCTTCATAACAATGCTGCTTCGCTAATTAAAAGAGATGCAGGTCAAGTGCTCAGCACAGGCCTGGCATACAGTAAGCATTCAGCAAAGTGAGCTGTTGTCAATGGACACATTCTTCCTCTGCCAGGGACACACCTCCCCAGCTGTCCATCAAGCTAACTCCTTTTGTCCATCAACAGCCAGCTCTTCTGGCATCAACTTCCAGGAAGCTTTCCCTGAGCGCCAGGTCAGGCCCCTCCTCCACAGGCGCCTCTTTCTGTGCCTTCCCCTCTCCTAGGAGGGGTGTGCAGAGCTAGGACCGACGCAGGCTGCTCCTTGGTGGCCGCATGGGGCTGGCCGCAGGGCAGGTGCTCATGAAGTTTGCTGGGTTATCAAGGCACATGCAGTGCCACCTCAGGCTTGTCCTCCCAACTTCCCGAGCCAGTTTACCTCAAAGCCAAACACCAGCTGCACAGAGGCCCCACGGGTCAGGATGCTGTGATAGGCATGGCTGACGAAGAGGAAGTCCAGGATACCCAGGAGGAACATAAGGGCTGTGGGGACCCCCACATGGGGGTTGGGGGGGTCAGCCCAGGGCCTGGCAGCCATTTCATGCTCTAAGACAGCTCCCACCCTCAGGCCCACAATGGACGGCCCCAGCCTCTAGTCAGGTGGGCACATACCACTGAACCTGGCCCCCTGGGAACGCCAATCCTGCCTAGTGGGGCACTGGGGCAGCCCAAGCTCCAGGTGAGGAGGCAAAGAGCTAAGGGGCCAGGCAGCTGAGAAGCTCTGGAGTGGAACAGGGCAGAGATGATGCAAATTAATTTCCTAAATTATCTTTCCTGTACAGCTGGGGCTGAGGGGGCAGCCTGTGCTCTAGCGTACAGGTCCCGGTGCCTCGTCCCGCCTCTCCCCTCCCCGGGTCTCACTCACAGACAATGCGGCAGTGAAAGAGCCAGGAGATATTGGGGCTGCGTTCCATCTGAGGCAGAGCAGAGAGGGGTCCCGTCAGGGAGGCTGGGACTCACCCCACACCCCCAACCCAGCCCCCCTCCGTCCACAAGCCTGCCCACTGGCCACTCTCTGCTCCAGAGACCCCCCGGCCCTACTCACAAAGTCCACGCGGTCCTCAGCCAGCCAGTGGAAACACTTGAGGAAGAGGAGGAGGGTGAAGAGCGCAACGAAGCGGGGGCTGAAGTCGTCCCGGAAGACGGTGAAGGCCAGACAAGTCTCGGTGACCGCATACCAGGAACGTTCCAGAAGGTGCTGGGGGTGGGGCAGGGCACGATGTCCAGCGGACAGTCTTCCTGCCCAGCTCCCCGGCCCTCACCTCGGGGCCACACCCGTCTTACCTCCATCTCCGCCGCCCTCAGCTGCCCGAAGAACACCTTGCCCATCACCTTGCCCAAAAGGAAGACAAGAACGAAGGCCTGGATGTACAGGACCTGGGAGCAGAGAGGCGACGGTTTGGGCTTCGCTCCGCCGACGCGCATCACTCAGGGGCGCCCACGCCCCCTCACAATGCAGTCAAGTCCGGCAGCTGGCGGCTCCCTCCTCGCCCGCTCCAGCCCCGCCTCGGCCTCGGCGACCTCCGCCCGCCCTCCCCGCAGCCCCCCCCCCGGCCCCCCAGCCCTCCACTCACGGCCATGCTGGGGCTGGACTTGGTCAGGTACACCACCGTGGGGTAGAACTGGTGCTTGAGGTAGTAGGCGTGAGCCACCACGGCCCCGGTCAGCGCCAGGCTGGCCGCCATCATCACCGCGGTGCGGAACATCGCCCCGGCCGGCGCCCTGCGCGGGAAGGGGTCACTGTGCGGTGCCATATGGCCCGGGCGGCCGGCGCCGAGGCGCCCAGTCGGCACACAGGAGCGAGAAAAGAAAGCTCGTGCCGCCCTGACACTCCTCACAGGGGAGCAGCACAGACGCCCCCATCTCACAAACGGAAAACGGAGACTCCGAGCGGTTAGCCGATCCGCCGCCAGCCCTGCAGCCGGGTCAGTCCTGCGTCCCGACCCGGGCTGTCCCCGCCGCGCCCCCGGGGAGGCAGCGGGACAGAGCACCGCCGGAGCGGGGCGAACTGCCACGGCTGCCCCTGAGTGAGGGTGAGCGGTGGGTGCAGGAGGCAGGCACCTCCCGCAGCGGGAACGTGCGCGGGGCAGGGAGAGGCCGAGAAGCCGGGGCGCCGCCGGGCCGGTGACAGCTCGGCCGGGTGGGCAGCTCCGACCCGCGCCCCGCGGGAGCGGGCGGGTCCGTCAGTCTGGAACCCTGGTGCCCCCAACCCTCGGGGAGTGTCCACTCGGGGCCCCCGAGGAACGGCCGACCGTCGGGATGCAGTGGCGAGACTGAGGGGGACCCCGCGCGGCCTCGCGATCGCGCACCTGGAAGCGCCCGGAGCTGCGAGCGTCGCCGGCGGGCCCAGCCTCGGAGAGCGGCCGCGCGGCGCCGGCGGTCTGCCGCCCGCTGACAGACCGAAAGCGGGCGGCGGGGCGCCCGACCCGGAGACCCGGGGGGGAGGTCCCGGTCCCGACTCCAACCACACCCCGGCCCGCCCGGCGCACTCACCAGGAGCCCACCGCCGCGAGCCCGCTCAAACCCGCGACTGCGGAGGCGGCCCGGTTAACAACACTCCTCCACCCCCTGCGAGCCGGAACTTGGAGGGTGAGACACCTCACTTCCGGGAGCGCGGGGCGCGGCGTGGGCCGTACCAAGTGCTCCCTTCTCCGGTCCGCACGGCGTGCCTTCCTCGGTGCCGGGCGCCGTCGTCCCCCGCCATGTCTGGGGTTCGTGCCCACGGTCCGAGCAAGAGGTGCAGTAGGTGGCCGGTGCGGAACAGGGCAGCCCGGGGGTGGCTAAAGCCCCCCTATTTGTTAGTCACAGATGGTATCGCCCCGGCCGCCGGTGGCCTCTGCCTAGCGGAGGACTCGGGCGCTCCGAGTGGCTGGGAGGTGGGGCGTCCTGGGGGCCGTGCCCCTGGGAGTGGGGAGCAGGCAGGGGATAGACAGGCCTGGGACATAAAGTGTTTTGAAACTAATTCCAGGGGAGTCACAACAGTTTGACAAATAAGATGCTTTCTGGGAAAACTGCATTCAGAAGAGGAAAAACTCGTCTCCTCCAAGTTCACCCCAAATTGTGTGGAAGTAAGTTGGATCCCCGTGGCTGCTTCGGATTGGTCGAGATGTAGTTACGCGGACCAATAAAAAAAAGAAAGGAAATGTGCTGGCCTATAGGAAGAGAAAAGCAGGTGAGCGGTTGCTAGGGGCGGAAGGCAGCGTTGCCTAGGACTAGGTCCAAGCCCAATGAGCAAAGTGGGGAAGGCGCTGTCAGGGCGGGTGGCGGGTGAGTCTGCCTTGGGGGGACGTTTGCTGCGCTCTGTAGGAGCGGGGCAGTCAGGTGTGCCACGGAGGGAGCAGAAGGCAGACCTTCAATGCCGGGTGGGAATGTCCAGTGAAAAGGCTTCACTGTCCTGGTATTGTTCCGTTCTGGGCCAGAGGCACAGCTCCCTCTCGTCTCGTGCTGCCCGGTATCCAGTTTGTGCCAACCCGGTCTGTTCATTGGCAAATTGAAGCTAACGCACCCACTTTGTGCCTTGCAATTTTGTCATCTCATTTAACTATCGATCATTAACGTTTATGAGCTAGGTGGTGCTATCTTCATTTTATACATGAGACAGTTGAGATCCAGAGATTTAACGAGACCTGCCCTGGGGTTGGCATTGAGTCCGGTCCTGTTGCCTCAGCCACCTTCACCACCACCTGTTGACCTGGATTGAAGTACTGCTACATGCTACAACATTGACCTAGTCAGCTGATTCCCCATGAAGCCATCCATGACTTTCTAGCAACTATTAGAGTTAATAAACAAGTTCAGTAAGGTTGTAGGATAGAAGATTAATATGCAAAATTCAATTGTATTAAAAAAAATTCAATTGTATTTTTATACACTAGTAATGAAAAATCCAAAAATGAAATCAAGGAAACATTTCCATTTACAATGCACACAAAAATGCTTATGATAAATTTAGCAAAAGAAGTATAAGATTGGTACACTGAATATTATAAAACATAACTGAAGTAAATTAAAGACCTAAATAAATACCTCGTATGCATAGATTCTAAGACTTAAAATTGTTTGATAGCCCTGACTGGTTTGGCTCAGTGGATAGAGCGTCGGCCTGCGGACTGAAAGGTCCCAGGTTCGATTCTGGTCAAGGGCATGTACCTTGGTTGCGGGCACATCCCCAGTAGGGGGTGTGCAGGAGGCAGCTAATTGATGTTTCTCTCTCATCGATGTTTCTAACTCTCTATCCCTCTCCCTTCCTCTCTGTAAGAAATCAATAAAATATATTTAAAAAAAATTGTTTGATAGCAATATTCCCCAAATTTAATCTAAAAATTCAACAGTCCCTATCAAAGTCCCAGCTGCCTTTATTGCAAAAATTGACAAGGTGATCCTAAAATTCACATTGACTGCTCACTTCAGCAGCACATATACTAAAATTAGAAGGATACAGAGAAGATTATCATGGTCCCTGTGCAAAGATGACATGCAAATTCGAGAAGCATTCCATAAAATTCATATTGAAATGCATGAGATTCAGAATAGAGAAAACAGTTTTGGAATAAAGTTGTAGTATTCATACTTCTTGATTTTAAAACTTACTACAAATCTACAGTAATTAAGATAGACAAATAAATCAATGGAGTAAAATTAAGAGCCCAGAAATAAACACACATTTATGGTCAATTTATTTTATTTTTATTTTTTTAATTCTCAGCCAAGGATGTTTTTCCATTGGTTTTTAGAGAGAGGGAAAGACAGAGAGAAATATTAATGTGAGAAACACAGCAATTGGTTGCCTCCTGCATGAGCCCAGGCCAGGACCCAGGCCGGGGAGGAGCCTGCAACTGAGGTATGTGCCCTTGACCAGAATCAAACCTGGGACCCTTGGGTCCGCAGGCCAACACTCTATCCACTGAACCAAACCAGCCCAGGCGGTCAATTGATTTTCAACAGGTTGCTAAGACAATGCAATGGAGGAAAGAATAGTCTTGTCAACAAATGCTGCTGGGGCATCTACCTTACACCACACACAAAAATTAACTCAAAATGGATCAGAGACCTAAATGTAAGACCTAAAGTTATGAAAGTATTAGAAGAAAACTTAAGCATAAGTCTTCATAAGCTTGGGTTGGATAATGGTTTCTTTCCTATGACATCAAAAACACAGCAACAAAAGGAAAACTAGATACACTGGATTTTATCAAAATTTTAAAATGTTGTGCCGAAACTGGTTTGGCTCAGTGGATAGAGCGTCGGCTTGCGGACTGAAGGGTCCCAGGTTCGATTCCGGTCAAAGGCATGTACCTGGGTTGCGGGCACATCCCCAGTGGGAGATGTGCAGGAGGCGGCTGATCGAGGTTTCTCTCTCATCGATGTTTCTAACTCTCTATCTCCCTCCCTTACTCTCTGTAAAAAATCAATAAAATATATTAAAAAAAAATTTTAAATGTTGTACTTCAAAGGACACCATTCAGAAAGTGAAAAGACAACCCACAGGATGGGAGAAAATATTTGCAAATCATATATTAGGTAAGGGACTTGTATCTATAATATATAAGGAACTCATAACTCTAATAAAAAGACAAGTAACCCAATTTTATGGGCAATGGATTTGAATAGAAACTTATTCAAAGGAGATCTAAAAGTGGCCAATAGGCACATCATGGTTATGCAAATCAAAACCACAATGAGATACCAGTTCACACCCACTAGGATATTATAACTAAACACAATAACAAGTTTTAGGAAAGATGCCGAGAAATTGGTACACTCATACATTTCTGGTAAAAGAGTACAGATGCTTTGGAAAACAGTTCGGCAGTTTCTCAAGAAGGTAAACATACAGTTACCATATGACCCAGATATTCCACTCTTAGATACATATCTAAGAGATGTGAAAACATCTGTTCATAGAAACACTTGTACATGAATGTTCATATCAGCCAAGCAAGCTTTCAGGTGCCTGCAGCCCTGGGCAATATCTTGACTGCATGCAACCTCATGAATGACTGTGAGTCTCTCCCAGGTAAGTTGCTCCTGAATTCCTGACCCACAGAACAACGAGGTAATAAATTGTGTGTTTTTTAATTTAAACCACAAAGTTCTGAAGTAATTTTTACTAATACTAGTTGTCTGTTGTATTAGTTGTCGTTAGCGCTGCTGCCCGGCTTCTGGCTGAGTGCCCCCCCCCCACCCTGTGGGAGCGCACTGACCACCAGGGGGCAGCTCCTGCCTTGAGTGTCTGACAACAGACAACTAATACATCTCTTTGACAGAGAAGAGCAACTGGAGGTCAAGCTCCCACCTGATTATTGGAGAACCCAGGCTCTTTCTATCTTGTGGCTCTGCCATTTCCTAGGGGCCCTTGGAGTTCCTGGGAGATCTGCATTTGGCTGAAAGTCAGGGATATAAAAAGTGAGGTAGATCATAAGAGAGGGAGGTTTTCAAAGGCTACACCTGGCAATTAAGAAGAAAAAATAGCCGAAGCCGGTTTGGCTCAGTGGATAGAGCGTTGGCCTGTGGACTGAGGGGTCCCAGGTTCGATTCCGGTCAGGGGCATGTGCCTGGGTTGCGGGCGCATCCCCAGTGGGAGATGTGCAGGAGGCAGCTGATCGATGTTTCTCTCTCATCGATGTTTCTAACTATCTCTCTCCCTTCCTCTCTGTAAAAAATCAATAAAATATATTTTAAAAAAAAAGAAGAAGAAAAAATAATAAAAATGGGATGCTGAAGTGACATTTTAGATGAAACCATAAGATGATTAGAGGGTAGGGTGGGTGGAAGGGAGAAAGGAATAGGATCAGTCAGCGGGAAGACCCTCTGGCCTGCGTGGAAAGTCCAGGTGTACATTAGGAAACAAAGAGAATCCCAGGGAGACTGAAGCTTGGTGAGTGAGGCTGAGAATGGCAGAAAATGAGCCTGAAGGTGAGCCAGATCCAGTGGGCCATGAAAACAGCCTCTGAATGACTTTGGGGTTTACACTAGGGTCAGTGGAAAGATACTGCCAAGGGCTAAGCAGGAGATGGCTGAGCATATCTGCACTGGGAGATACTATCCTTGGCCTCAGTAGAGGGGGGACTGGAGGAGGGAGGGGAGTGCCGGTTGGAGCAGGAGGAATGGTCAGGAAGCTGATGCAGTGGCTCATGTAGGGATAAAGATAGCCTGCTCTGGGCTGGACAGGGTGGACGGAAGTGCCAAAGGTGCGGAGGGCCAGAATTCAATATCAGATTAAGCGTGGGGGAGAGGGAAAGGGAGAAGCGGAGGGGCCCCGTGTGGAGGATAAAATTATTCTCTAAGATGGAGAATCCCAGAGAGAGCAGGCTTGGAGGCAGCATGTTGAGTTCACTTTTTAAAATTATGACCTTTGTGATATGTACAAAGTAATTAATATCAATTATACATAAATAGTGGAATGAATAATTAAATAAACCCCCAATTTGACAAACAGAACATTAACAATATCACTAAGTTTCCCTATTTCCTCCTCACCATCACATCTCTCTGTCTCCCACCCCAAGATACCGCACTCCCAATGTTATATTTCTCAATTCATTACCTTTTATTTTTCTCATAAACTCAGTGGTTATCCTTTATAATAAAAGGCTAATATGCAAATTGACGGAACAGCAGAATGACTGGTTGCAATGATGTGCACTGACCACCAGCTGGCAGACACTCAAGGCAGGAGCTGCCCCCTGGTGGTCAGTGCGCTCCCACAGGGTGGGGGGGGGGGGCACTCAGCCAGAAGCCGGGCAGCAGCGCTAACGATGTCCTAAGCTGGCAGTCGGACATCCCCCAAGGGCTCCTGGAATGTGAGAGGATGCAGGCCAGGCTGAGGGACCCCTCCGAGAGCACAAATTTTGTGCACCGGGCCTCTAGTTTTATTATAATTATAACTATGCTTATAAAAATGTTCCAGTTAAGAATGGAAAGGATTTGGCTTCTCAGTGCAAAACTGCACTCCAGAGAAAGCTGCCAATATCTAGATCCCATTTCAACAACTGGCTCAAACATTCTGCCCAGCCACTGTCTCTCCTTTTGCTGTTAGCCACTTGTCCCCTACTGGTGTATGTGCCCTTTGGGTCTGTCTCACTGGGCATGGCAACATGCACTCTGGATTCAATGAGATGGTACAGTTTTTCTCCTCTAATCTGTTAAAGGAGTAAATTGCATTAATTACAT